AAAGAAAAAAAGTATTGTCCCAATGTCCCCAGTATTAAAACATAAACATCTCACAAAAAAATCTTTTCTTATTAAACTAGAAAAAATGAAAATTAATCAGTGTTCCAAACATAATGGCTTCTTTCAAATTACATACTCAACTAAATTATCTGAAATGCCGCACAAACAAAAATTTTATTCATACAAATCAATTTCTCACAACATTTGCAGAATAATAAACGACTCCAATCTTAAGTAAATTTCAAAGCCAACTGCCACATATATAAAAATAGAAGCGTTGATACCTATAAATATGAATATGGTTTTTAATATAAAACGACGCACAAAATATGTCAAACAGTTTATTAAAACATTTTCAATGCGTAATATTGTTCAAAAGCTTATCTGAAAGATTTTTGAAGTTTCTAGCATTTAATTCATACATTAAAGAATCTATTTAATGTACCACAACTGCTTTAAAGACCATTGCTGAAATTCCTCATTGGTGACAACGAGAACAATTTGAGTAAGCCACTTAAGAAATCAGAAACTATCTTAAATACAATGCGAGAAGATTTCATGCTTTTCCAGATATAGAAATCCGTGAAGTTGAGAATAAGAATTCCTGAAGCAATTTTTTTCACCTTATAATTATATTTAAATTTATTATTATCAGTACTTTAGTAATTATTCATTAATTTGGTGTGTTGTGTGTCTCTTTCGCAGAGTTTTTCGAAGTTTATGCATTGATGACGTATAAGTCGATAGATCACTTCAGCAATTTCTATTAATGAAAGAAAACTAATCCCAATCCAAAGACCTGTTAGAAACATAATTAGATTGAATTTCAAAAGCCCATGATGTTGACCAGTTTGCAGGGAGTGGAATTTTTGATGATTCAACGAATCGTTTGATATCATTCATTAGAAACTGAGGTGGTGCTAAGAGTGAGGATGATTTAATCAGAAAATCAGAAGTAGAACATTCTTCTGTGCAGTCAGGACAATAAGTGGTCCATATAGATCGTGTATTCATCAATTCTGCTGCTGCTTCAATGTAGCATGGATTTTTTATATCACAAAATGATATATTAATTGCTTTATCAGTACCAGGAAGTACAACAGAACGGATAGCCCAACGAAATGGATGTCCACAACCACATTTTTGGTAACTGAAACCAATTAATTATATGAGAAATCAGTATGAAATTAGCTTGACAACTTACATATATGCTTGTAAACAAACAGTATAGCATTGAAATTGTGTATATGCATAGTCAGCACCTTGGTACTGATCAAACATGATTTGCATTCCCAGATTAGGTTTATCATTGCATGTTGTGTATGGTGCTGGCAAAAATATATTCATTTTTTTTTAATAAGAGAATTTATGATGTCGTCCAGGTGCAAGATACATTCCTGCCATTTCAATGTAAGGAAATTGTACATTATCATGAACCAATGCTACCATTCCAGTAGCTGAATATAAAATTTACAGAATACATATTAAAAATCAGATACACTAGAATGAAATCATGATATTATGCTTACCATATGATAAATAGGGCACATATTGATGTTGATGTACATAGAAATGTGTTTGAAGTACGCCAGTGCCACCGTTTTCACTGCTATTTCTTACCCTAGTATTGAAAGAATCTCTTAATTTGGCATTGAATGTATAGCAAAGACCATATGCTGATGATATAAACGAAGTGAAATTAGTTGCATAACATGATATTTTATTATACACACAATCCATCATCATTGACTCAAGTGGAAAAAAAAGATCGTTTAAAGATTCACCTTGATTGAGTTTATAAACTAGAAAATCATTAATGTATAAAGATTGTGCAAAAGTGAAATTAGTTGTATCCGTTGTATTTGTTAAGTTAAGTGTATTTGTATAGTTTAAAAAAGAGCCAATAAATCGATCATATCTTAATGGAGAATAATTACAAATAGTTACTGCAGGAAAAGCTTGAGGCCATTCAACTGCAATAGATACAGATGTCTGAGAAGGATATTCGAAGTATGCACGAATTGATTGAGTAATAAAAAAAATCATTACGCCGGTAAAAATAAGTGTTGAAATACACCAAAATATACGATTTTGTATACTTCGACTACGTGCAATACCGGGTATACCATGAGTTGATGTGTTTAAACTGAATTCTCTGATAATCGAACGAGTTCCTCGAGCTTTTGGATCTGCTTTCAACACTTCCGCATCCATCGGAAAAATCGTTGCTACATGCTTGGTCGTTTTGTTAGACATGTCTAATTGAAATGATTAATAATGTTGGTTTCATCATTAAAAATATATTGATTATATGTGAAGCCTAAATAAATCGTATTTACATACAATATTTTTCGAGTAACCCCGGTATTCAATGTATTACAAATAAAACAATTAGTGTTTATGTGGCAGTTGACTTTGAAATTTACTTAAGATTGGAGTCGTTTATTATTTTGCAAATGTTGTGAGAAATTGATTTGTATGAATAAAATTTTTGCTTGTGCGGCATTTCAGATAGTTTAGTTGAGTATGTAATTTGAAGGAAGTCATTATGTTTGGAACACTGATTAATTTTCATTTTTTCTAGTTTAACAAGAAAATATTTTTTTTGTGAGATGTTTATATTTTAATGCTGGGGACATTGGAACAATACTTTTTTTTCTTTATCTAGTTCAAGAGAAAAAAATAATTTTCAATAGATATTTATTTTCAATGCTCGGGACATTTGGACATTAATTCTTTTCTTTATCTAGTTCAAAAGAAAAAAAAGATTTTCAATAAATGTTTATTTTCAATAGTCGGGACATTTGGACAATACTTTTTTTCTTTATCTAGTTCAAAAGAAAA